CATAACTTTACGTGTTTCCGGCATTAAAAGACAAAACTTCGCTTGCCTTTTGACCGATGCTGATAAATTAATTCGGGCGCATCTAATTGAATAACTATTATATGCTATATACTCATACTGCCCCGAGCTGACCTTAACGCAATACCAACAAGACCTGCTTAAAATACTCTGATGTCGCTTGGTTCCTTCGAGGACTAGGATTCTTGAAGATACCGCGGTCTACCCTAAACCCTAACAAATATTGCTGGAGGGCCCGTTGGTAGTGCGAGCTGTGATGTGTTACCGAAAGTAGGTTTAACATTTAACGCACCATCGCCCAGATACAAGTCACAGTGGCCAGACTTCAGAAAGGCACTGGGTACGCCGTGTGTCTCACAAACTCTTTAATTCTTTTCTTAGTAACCGCGTCTTCCATAATCAGGTCGGCACTGCGCTAACAAGACCACGTCCGCTTGCCATAGAGGTGCTGCATGACGATAGGGTCTTGAAAAAGGCGCTTATTCGTTATAAGACTATTATCGCCCTCCGTCGTACATCAAACACTGCAACCAGTACAATTCCATCCCACTATCTATGTTCGAAGACACACTCACCGACAGAGGTTAACAAGTCTTTGTAAAAGTCGATGAGCAAAGCGCTTTTCAGTTCAGAGAGTGCACTTTGTTGCCTCTAGGTCTTATTTTATATCATGCTTTGGCCAATTATTTTAAAACGTCCATCGACCACGAACTGTAAATTCTGTGGAAGCTCGAAGAAGCAACGTAAGATCTTCATCCTCTTCCGAATAAAGAGCACGAGGCCCTAGCACATATGCTTAACTTTCTTAAGCAATGAATGCATAGTAAACTGGGGCAGCACTTCACAAACTGCTATGGCCTGCTTAGTAACATGAAGAATTTTACAAAAAAGCATACATTGCGCTCTTCCTTATATCTTATTTAAACTTTTCTACATTGTCACCAACAATGTTCGGCAGTAAGCCATATCTTATCACATTTTTTGATTTCTTCGCGTTGTGTCGCATTCTGGCGCTAAAAAATCATTTATATTGCAACGAATTTGGAACTAAGTGAACAAAAATATTTAAATTTAAAAGTTAGTGTATCAGATTGACTGAGAAGACAGGCTTGGCGTCACACTTATCCAATCTTAAATAACACCCTCGTAGATATATATTTGCGCTGCAGACTAAATAAGTTTTATAGCTGAGAATTCGACTTCAAAAAAAAAGATTTTATAGTTTTAAAATAAATAATTACAAGAGCAAGCAAGGTAAATCTTATTTACTACATAACTAAGTTACTTTGTAATTTAAGTACTTTGGTTTCACCAACGGTTAGTAACAAACAGTTCATCTTATAAACTGAGCAAGAAAACGCAGAGAGCTAATAAAGTTATTTAGATTTTTTGATATTATTTAAACATTTTAGCGGCCGTTGTTATTAAAAGATAAAAACTTTAACATTAAAATAAAAGTTGGAATAAAAATCTTTATTAGCTTATTATGGTCCGTTCTTCTATCCTTTAAAAATAAAAGGTGTCAAGGAAGCTGAGCTCGAATATTCTCCACAAAACTATAGAAAAATAGGATATATTCGAATAATAGATGAACGGTAGTAAACAAAGTTATTGTTAAATTTTAAAATATTTATATGAAAGTAAGCACCTGGACAAAATTCCTTTATACTTATACTTAAAAACTTTCGCACTATTAAGTTATTATCAAAAGCTCAATGCATACTCGAAATAAAGTTCAGTGGTAGTTATAATATTATATATATAAATTTTATATGTGAGAAAATAAAGGCAGCAAAACTACTTAATAATTAATTTTAAGACTTAATTTTTTTAATAAGAATACTTAATGGGTAATAAATGCTGCTCTCTTAAAATTTATATGTTGTAACTTTTAAAAACTCTCACTTTGCAAGTAAACAATTTAAACAGATCGCTTAATTTTTTTAAAAAAATTCTATAGGACTTTTTTCTAACGAAGACTTAGAATTTGCAATGAAAAGTTATTTATGAAAATTAAGTTAAAAATGTAGTTTATTTTAAAAGATACAAAATATATTATAAATAACAATTCAATAGAATCTAGAAAACCTCATAAATGAAATAAATAAAGGGTTTCCTTAAATAATGTTTCTAACTAGTCTGCTTTTTAGCTTAGTAAAAATTATCAGACTTATGAAACAAAATTTAAAAAAAAGAAACCAAATTTATAAGAAGAAGCCTTAATAAAGTTTTCAAACTGTTAATATTATAATTAAATATTAAAAAAAAATCACTAAATAGAAATGCTATGAATAAAAATTTGTACACCTACAAACAAAAATTAAATGGATTTAAGTTTTTTAAAAGTTTATTAACATACAAAGAAGTAGCAATGAGATAATGAATAGCGAAATAGTAAAGTATAACGATTAATTAACATTATAAATAAAAAGAATTTTTTTAAAAAAAAGTCAGTAATCGAATATTCAAAGTGTAGGAGACATGTAATTAGTTTATACGTTCCCAATAAAATTTATGAAGACTTTAGTAAATAAAAAAGGTTTTATAAATGTTAATAATGAGAACCTTAAATAAAAAATAATTTTAATTTTTTAATGCGTTCTATATAAAAGATTAATTAAAGTTATATATAATAAATAATTTAAATTTTATATAGAGTTTTTACTTATCTATCAATCTTTTGCCAAACAAACTTCTCAAATTCTTTATTTTTAAATAAAACAAAAATAGTTAAAAAAAAGTAGTAATAATAATAACTTCTAATAAAAAGAAAAAAAATACAGTTAAGCGGAATATTTATATACATAAAAAATATAATGAATAAAGGAACTTAAAATTATAATATTATGCGAATTTTTAAAACTCAAGCTTATAAAAGTTTAAAAATATTTTTTAAATAAAAATCCTAAAGCAGAATCAATATAATGCAAAAAAAAAAAGTTTGACAGCCCCGCGTGCTAGTGTAATCAAAAAACCACAAGTGGCCGAGAAAAGACAAGTTTAGAAGCTTTCGTGAATCATAAAATTTACTTTATATGAAAGTACAGAAAGTGTGCCAATAAGAATATATCAAGCACAAGCAACACATTAACTTACCAAAGTGTGAATATAGCTTAAAATCCGCCGCACTCAGTAGTAGAAAAAAATATTTTTTTCTCGATTAGTTAATATTATTACAATTAATATAGAGCTTAAATACGACAGAAAAACAGCGTCTCGCTTTATAAGCAAAAAGTCAAGCAAGTTTTCAGTACTGCTAAGTAGACGTGGAGGTGCTCTCCTCGTAAAGCGCTTTATGATTAACAATTTTCCTCTTGCATACATTGGAATAATATATTTAAAGAATTATCTCTGTTTAGCTGAATACTTTTATACATGCGTTTACAGCATTTTCTATCGGTCCACATTTGCTACCGACAATGCATGATAATATAAAGAGCACTAGAAAGAAAGGTTATAATAAAGTAGGATGCAATAAAATTAGATAAGAAAACACGTGCGCAACGGTGTCCACCAGGAAACACAGCAGAGATACGCGGCGGATAACTGCGAAAAGTATAATTTTATTAGCATAAGAATTTAGTTGATAGAACTATTAGCAGAGACGTCGGAAAGTTGTTCGTGAGCTTCTACTGGAGCCAATAAAGTCGATACTATAAATATTTATTTACTTAAACATATAAAACATTAAATAAAAATTAAAAAAAATGAAAAGGAAAAAGTATTTATAAAGAATATATACTTTAGATAAACTTAATAAACATTATAAAAATAATCGTTAATAATTAATTAAACTTAAAAAAATAATTAAGTAGATTTCATATAGTAAACATTAATATCGTACATATGATAATTAAATTGCATTATATTCATAATGAATGTCCGCAAGTAGTAATAAACATAAAAAACACTATAAAAAAGGCATAACAATTGTTGTAAGAAGAAAGAAACATAATAGTAAATTAATATTTTTTATGATAAATCTGAACAACTGTGCAGTATATATATATAAAGACCACAAAAGGAATGTCAAAAAATTTTGATATAATGAACTTTATAATGTTAATACAAAACTTTTCCTAATATAAACTAAGAAAAGTGCTTTAAATTTTGTAGAGAGAGTATTTTAAAAAGCTTAAGCTTATTAGAAAAAAAAAGTAACGTAAGTTGTTATAATAAAAGTAATAATATATAAAATTTTTAAGTTAATAAAAGATTCTTACAAATATTTATACGTTTATAATTATTGGTATATAATTAATATTATTAGCTTTATTTACTGGCTAAACGCTAGCTTATATAAGAAGCGATAGTAAAAAAAACTTTTTTAACCACGTGAACTCTCAACAATAACATTTTGTAAGACCAGTGCCATTTCTACTAACCAATTACTAACTTTAATTAAGTGTTGTTGTTAGTATTTTCTGTATAACCTTCTTGGCAATCGAAGTGTTTATCTTCAAGACACATAAGAAAAGCCGAAAGCTTGTCATTCATGGAAAGCAGAGCTCCTGCAAAAATTAATTTGCTAAAATATGACTCATAAAAGTGTAGAGAACAGTAAACTTATTAAGATTAATTAAAAAAAAACTAATAAAGAGTATACTGAAAAGTGAATACAATTCGAAGGCCTCGAGATATTTTAAAGAAAATAATAAATAACAATATATGAAAGAATAAAAAGTGAATAGGACACGTTCTAAAAATATAAGTAGCCAATAAAATCACCAAAAAAAATCCAAGTGAGCTTCCAAAGATGAGTCGTGGATAAGACTAACGAGACATTCCTGCAGCGCATTAGCACGTGTTATTTGGTCCTAAAATATATAAAAAACAGTTAACCTGCCGCTAATCGCCACGTGGATTTCGGTGCATAAATAAAATTAAACGAGATTCAAAATAATATATATAGGCATAATATTACTTACACTCACTAACCACGTAGGCACTAAACTTACTAAACTTACTATCAATTTTTTACTTTCATAAAAACGTTTAGATTTTATGCCGAAAAATTATAGTAAAAACTTTGTTGCCTAAATGTTTGGAATGTATGAGAACCGCCTCGCAAAGATCCATGGGTTCAGAGAGTCCCAGAAGGGAGGTTAGTTTGCATTACAACATTTCAACATCATACAAACTCTAGACAGATAAAAGTATAAAAAAACCAACATTACAGTAATATATTTTTTAAAATAAACTCATAAGTTTATTTTAAAGTTACAATTGCCAAGTAAAGCTAAAGGAAGTAAATAAAAAAGAGAAATAGTTAGATTCTAAAATAAAAAAAGATGCGCGTATAAGGTAAAAAAAAGTAATAACCAACCTATTTTCGCACGAGTCTGGAAGAATTTGAGATTCATAGTCCTATCAATAAATTGATGTCATTTTTCGTCATATTGAAACTCGCACGCACTTCGTGTAAAAAAAAGGTGTTGAAAAATAAAACTTTTAATTTATAATTTCTAAAAAGAAAAAACAAGAAAAACTTTAAAAATTTAAATATTTTATAGTAAACCGCAGAATTTGCATCTTTTATAAATTAATTAAACAAAAGATGAAGATTGATAATCTCGTTATAGTTTCTTTTCTTGTATATTACTATATAAAAATATAATATATTTTCAAAACCACATAATTAAAAATGCATAGGTTGATAACTTTTTTTTAAACAACTACAACTACAACTACGTGACCTAAATTATCTTAAATAAAAAAATATATACTTTCCATAAACGAATCTTATTATAGGTTTGTACATATATTTCTCTAATACTTAAAAAAAATTTTCTAAATTCTATTATTTAATGAGTGCAAAAATATTTTTTTAATGTTACAAAAAATAAACTTCGTAATATTAACATTTCTTAAACTAGTACTGGAAACAGCAAACAAATAGGCGCGTAAGCTTTCTTCTCTAATTCAAGAAAAAAAAAACCCTAAAAAGTTTTTAATTTTAGTATAATTCAACCATATACACTAATAATACCGTTAAAAAAGATTATGTTTCACAATAGAAAAAAAATTGATACTATTATTGAAAAAACACAAGAAAAGATCTACGAAAGTCAAATGTTCCATATATTACCAAATCTTAAACAATTCAAATAGAAGTTTTAATTGAAATAACTTTACTTATAAAAATTATACGCTTATATACTTATGAACATTTACAACTAATGTTAATAACAAAAAAAGGGATTTGAAAACAATTAATTAGATAATACAAAACCCTTTTGAGTTATTTAATTAAAGTAATATCACGTTAACAAAACAAAACAATTAAGAGTTATGAAAATTTAATAACTTACAGGTTATTATCGAGTTTTTTAAAAAAAGTAGAAATTAAAATAATGAGGTTGGTTACTTTCGTCTTTTAGTAGTTCGTAGGTTTTGTGAACAAGGCTATATGGAGGGTAATCTTCTAATGCAGTCGCCCATTCCAACAATAACCTCTAGAATTTTTTCCTAGTAAACTCTAATAAAGCTTAATTTAAGACTTTATCCAATATAAATATATGAAGAACTACTCTCTCCCAAAACATAAAATATATTCAAACAATTCTTTGTCCTAAAAAACACTGAATAGAAGTAAAATAATACTAGTTTTTAAGAAACAACGTCTACTTTAAAGGTTACCATGATGCACAATTTAAGGTAAACAAATGAAGTAAACCTAAAGAGGAAAAACAATTTACTTTTTTTTTCTTTAAATCTTTTTTATAAGAGCTCTAAGAGCGTGGAATGAACTAAAAAAATACCTTTTAACAATTGTGAGGAAGGTGAAAAAATTTAAAACCCTTCCTTTTAAGTGTTTATTAGATCACATATATCCAAAGCAAGAGGAAGATTCAACTCTCTTAAACATTCATTGGTAGCTTCACCCGTTGAAAACAAGATGACTACTTTTTTGCATAACTATTTTGATTTAATTAAGTCTGTAAAACAGATATTTTCACGGATGTCAGTTCTTAAGGCCAGAACATCATAATTGCACAATCTAAACATCTATAGTTTATATTCCTTCTGCAATATAAATAGTACTGATAATCGCTTATATGATCCCTTATTCTTAATCCAACCCTACTTGATCTAACCAAGCAAGGTTGTCTTGTAAGTTAAAATATTATTTGTTTAAGGTAAGAACTGACTTTGATGGTTTTTGACTTGTTATAGAGCAGTCCAAATAAGAAACATTATTGGCCAACTGTTTTTTAACACGTTCTGTTTACAGATCTTCTTTTCGGTTAAACAAATAATTATAGAAAGGGAAAATAAATAACTAGTTGTGTTATTAACTCTAGTTATAGCCGACCATAGTGGAAATGAGGGCATAGGTTAACTATTAACAAGGGTAATGCTTAAACAGCAACGAAGGCTTTAAAGAGGAAAAGGTTCCTTGGCAGTTATAGGGGATCTGATAAGGTTGACGTTATATAACATACTCAGATTGTAAAACGGAGACTAAGTCAATAAAAAAGTTTTAAATAATAACATATGAGGAACAGGTGTAAAGCGAAGTAAAGATAACAGGAAGAAGGGCAAACTTCGGTGAATAACAATATTTTTAAGTTTTAAATTGGTGAATACCCGGCCACTTTACAAAGTTATGATTATTATTAGTCTTATCTAAAGATTAGGCGAGAGAATAGAATCAATATAGAACGCCAAAAAGAAATGATGTTCCTAGCATGACTGGTAAAAATTGTTAGCTATTTAATACAAATTCTATTTATTAAAAAAAAAGTTAAAAACACGATCTTCTGAAAGCCTCGGTGCAGCTACTTATTCTCACTTAATTTGTTTTTTTATTATATAACCATATTATTTTATTGAGAACATAATAAAATCTATTAAAAATATATATAAAAATAAAACAAACGCACAATCTTTTCGTACTACGTGGGTAAGCTTCACTAGTACCAGTTAAATTGCCTATAATATTGGCCTATATAACATACTATAGTTTTATACTCTCTACAGCAGCTTTGCCAACATGAAATTAACGAACAACAAAAATATTCCTACCTTTTTGTATTTCTACAAGATAGCAGCCTTTTATAACAATAATGCTTATCAATAAAATTCAGCAAATCTTATTTTAAAAATATAATAATTCCTACTAAAATAGCACGTTTATTTAAAGAAATATCTTACTTCCTATAAACTTAGAGCTCACTTTCCGGATGCAGAGCGTTAAAGGTTGAACGTGATTAACAAATACAAGAACGCCTTGATCTTCTGGATAGTAGGCTACACATCGGGTCTATTTTATAAATGCAAATACAAGTACCACTGTGTGTATGTCGATATCAAAAATTAATGAGGTTACTAAGATGAATTTCCAGTTATGTAAAAAGCTATTATGTCCGTCAAAAAAGATTCGACTTACTATAAACTGAAAATTAAAAACTTTTAAATATATTTTCTACCCCTTTTATCTCCCTCCCCCTTTTTATAAAAACTTTTAAGGTATTTTATTTAGAAGTTCACCTCTGTTGCAAATTTAAGCACCTTTGCGGAAAATGTTAGAGTTAATTATTATAAACAGAAACTAAGAAGAGCTTATACACCAGCCGAAGCCCTGTACAACTAAGACGTTTTAACTTTACTAAACTTGTAAAAATACTAATAGAGAACTACCTCTAAATTATAACACGTAAGAGTTAGAAAAGTCTCCCCTTTCCCTATAGATTAATAGTAAAAACTTTGTAACACTTCTACACTTTTTTCTAAATCATGATAGAATAAGACGTTTTTAATCTAAGTTTTTAGTTTTATAAAGTCACCAAAATGTTAAAAATGTAGTAAAATACTAATATATATCTCTTCCATAACTTTAAGGATTGTTAAACAAAACTTTTAAAAATTTTTAGAAGTAAGAAAACGGATGGGCTTTTAAGCACTGGTCGATATAAAGTTTTTATGTGAAAAACTACAGTTGAGAACGAAAGGGAGATAGGAAGAAAGGAAAAACTACAACAGTTGAGAACGAAAGGGAGATTGGAAGCAAGGAAAAAAAAGAATTGGCGCTTCACGTTTTTGCGTGTCATCCTTGTGCAGGGGCCATGCTAATCTTCTCTGTATCGTTCCAATTTTAGTAGATGTCCAAGCGCCGAAGCGCTGGACATAAGACCTTCTTCAAGTTAACTTATATAGTCTGCAATTCTAAAAAAAGTCGAAAATGTGTTATATTTAGTCACGTGTTTTTTTGCTTACGCGTTTAACCCCCAGCAGCTCGCCCGCCCCCAATTTGGGTAACGTCAGATGCCACAAGAAAAAAAAAATTTATTTGTTCTCTTAGGTTGTAGTAAATACTTTTACTATAAATGTGATGTTATAACTCAAAAATCGAACTATAATTTATTTATAAAAAAAATCACCTCATTTGTAGTAGTAAATCTCATAAGTTTAAGTTTTAAACAAAACTTTGCTCTTAATGTTACTATATAATTAAAAAAAAATCGATCGATTGTTTTTAAAAGAAGTAATAATACGTATAAATAAATTGGGAATGGTTTAAAATAACAATATTAACTGATTTAACCTTTGAGTAGCCAGATAAACTTTAGATCGAGTCTAGTCGCTATTTAGACTATTTATTAAAATCAGGGATCATTAAAGTTAGTCTTAAGCTATAAAAAAATTTCTTTATCTATATATTTTACTATCAATTACTTTTAAGTAGATCACCTCTGTAAACTGGGTTTACAATAATTACTAATTGGGCGTTATAATACTTGACAAACTTTATTGAAAAAATGCGGTTATTGTGCTAATATTTAGTTCCTTTTTAATGTATCCTTCTATGCCTAATTCATCTGTGCATAGAAAAAAAAAATTTAATTAGCAGACCTTTTAACTATTTAATTAAGAACTATTCATCCCTGATTTTAATAAATAGTCTAAATAGCGACTAGACTCGATCTAAAGTTTATCTGGCTACTCAAAGGTTAAATCAGTTAATATTGTTATTTTAAACCATTCCCAATTTATTTATACGTATTATTACTTCTTTTAAAAACAATCGATCGATTTTTTTTTAATTATATAGTAACATTAAGAGCAAAGTTTTGTTTAAAACTTAAACTTATGAGATTTACTACTACAAATGAGGTGATTTTTTTTATAAATAAATTATAGTTCGATTTTTGAGTTATAACATCACATTTATAGTAAAAGTATTTACTACAACCTAAGAGAACAAATAAATTTTTTTTTTCTTGTGGCATCTGACGTTACCCAAATTGGGGGCGGGCGAGCTGCTGGGGGTTAAACGCGTAAGCAAAAAAACACGTGACTAAATATAACACATTTTCGACTTTTTTTAGAATTGCAGACTATATAAGTTAACTTGAAGAAGGTCTTATGTCCAGCGCTTCGGCGCTTGGACATCTACTAAAATTGGA